TAAATTTACATTGTTTTAAAAAGTGTTACATGCTTAAAACGATAACTCAATATGAAGAATGTGAATGAAATTGGAGTTCACTGAAAAAGGATCCATTATAATTTTTTGTTTTATTTATTTTAATTTTATTTTTCTCCTTGTTACTATGTGGAGCGGTTTATTCTGATTGTAAATTTGTTGTTTGGTTTGAGTTAGGACCGGAGATAAATGTTAATGTTAGTTTGTTCCCTGATTTTTGGTGCCCACTTGTAATATAAATTGGATTGTAGATAGGGGGCGGGGTTTAATAAGAATATTTTCTTCTTCCTGCTCCTTTTCACACATGGTTGTAGTGTTTTTGATAGAAAGTGTGGTTGGTTTGTTTGAATTGTTGTACCAAGTGTGAAATAAATGAAATGAAATGAAATTGTGACATAATTTTACTGGGGATATGATCTTGGCACACTTGTCCAGCCCTTTATGACTGCTACGTACCCACTATCATGGCAACCCAAGGTGTACCTAATCAACTGGCCAGCGAGTGTATACGTAATTTTGTTTTGTGGTGCAGCATGCCAGCACTTTAAACTTCCGTCCAACTAATTAGTGTCATTTACTACTCATTTACATACCATTGGCACTAAAGTGAAGCTGGGCTCATCATCTGCTCAGACTGAACTCAAATGGAAGCAAAAACGCGCGGCTATGTGAGGCACACTATGTGGGCTTGTTCAGTTGAAAGCCAGCTGAATAAGCTTCTAGCTCCCTGCCAGTGTCGCTAAAATGGTAGAAAACTAGTGCAAACTTTTATATTCAAAACAGAATGCTGCAGTCTCACAATAATATGGAGAGTGAAGACTAAAGGAGTAACTTACTTGGCCTTGTGCAGTATTTTAATAGCTTCGTCCCTTCTGCCTTGGTCTATGTAAAGCAGACTGAGCTCCACGAGACAGTTGGGCACCAAGTAGTGGTCAAACCTGATCTTCTTTTCACTGCAATAAGAAGCGAGTTAAATATTCATTCAACACGGACGTTCATTTAAGACATGATCCTCCACTGTACTCAATGTGGCATCCTTGGGAAGGCTGAGGGTTGAGCTGCAGGTGGCTGACCAATTTGGTGAATAAACAAACGTCTCTCATGAGGACTGTCAGTGTAATTTAAGCTGGAAGTCCTTCTTGATTGCCACGCAAATATTCACACTGTGACGTAGTGAGATGAGAGTTTTATGGCTGCAAAACAAACACGGCACTGAAAGGACGTCCAATGAAGAGTCACCCTGATACGTTTTAAAAGGAAGACCTGCTGAATTTATGCAATGTTTGGAAAATCAGAGAAAATACTGATGTAAAAAGCTTGTATTGCAGGTTTTAGTAGAAGAAAGTAGTAAGATTCTGAAGTACTTCTGCCACTAATTCAAGAAAACACAGTGTGTTAACTAGGGATGGGTACCGGTA